GCACGGAACGTGTTAAGTCAATCACTAAAAATAGAAATTATAAACATAATGTTTCTTCTAATAATTTTAATGAGTCGGAAATAATGGAACAGTATTGTTAAATTCGTGTCACGTCTTCACAATTTTGTGTTGAGTGAATTGTGTGTAACATAAGCTAAATAACAATGTGACTCTTGTAGTAACGATTTTACTAAGTCGGATATAATAGGGCGCTGTTGTTAAATTCGTGCAATGTTTACAGTCCTCACGCGACAAGAAGGCACCTTTATATTTACGTTCCCCCTCTTAGTGGCTGTAGCAGTGGGACAGCTAGTAAGAGGGGGAATGTAAACACGAAGGTGTCTTCTTGTCGCGTGAGGATTGTACACAGTTTTCTATTAAGTCAATCGTGAGATATAGAAGTTAAATAAAAATGTATTTCTTGTTTTAATGATTTTAATAAGTTGGAAATAATACGACAATATATTCCTGTAAATTCCTAAATTCGTGTGATATCTTCACAGATTTGTATTATTAAGTCAATCACTAAAAATAGAAATTATAAACATAATGTTTCTTATAATAATTTTAATGAGTCGGAAATAATGGAACAGTATTGTTAAATTCGTGTCACGTCTTCACAATTTTGTGTTGAGTGAATTGTGTGTAACATAAGCTAAATAACAATGTGACTCTTGTAGTAACGATTTTACTAAGTCGGATATAATAGGGCGCTGTTGTTAAATTCGTGCAATGTTTACAGTCCTCACGCGACAAGAAGGCACCTTTATATTTACGTTCCCCCTCTTAGTGGCTGTAGCAGTGGGACAGCTAGTAAGAGGGGGAATGTAAACACGAAGGTGTCTTCTTGTCGCGTGAGGATTGTACACAGTTTTCTATTAAGTCAATCGTGAGATATAGAAGTTAAATAAAAATGTATTTCTTGTTTTAATGATTTTAATAAGTTGGAAATAATACGACAATATATTCCTGTAAATTCCTAAATTCGTGTGATATCTTCACAGATTTGTATTATTAACACGTTCCGTGCCGAGCTTTTTTTACTCGAATCTTCACACTTTGATATTTTACTAAAACTTGATGTATTACGTGCAATTATTAATTCTCGTACACATAACAACGTAACAAAAACTTATCAACGCCCATTCTTGCGGTGGAAATTGATTCTTCGGTTCTAAATTTCTTGTAAACAATTTGTTCAGTTCACTAAGTAAACATGCAAGCGTGTACCATCGATGGTACACGTGGCACGGAACGTGTTAATTGAAATGCAATTTTCGTCTTTGGTTTCTCGATTTTTGTTTCGACGTGGCACATTGTATTTTTATCTTCCGAACAAATTATCGATAGCACGGTTTTACGGGATTGTGATGCGATTCGATGCAGGATGTTTACACAAGCATTTACATATATAGCCAGTCCGACGCGACGCCAGATTCTGAAGACCATCGGAGCCGACAACACGGATGAAAGTTGCTCTAGCTAGCCGGCTAGAGCCTGGTCTGGCTACTTTCTAAATTTAGGACGCCTTGCTTTCACGGGCCGAATTTCTGGACGAAATAACGTCTACGTAACGTCTTGGAATACGAAGCTATTATTCACCCCTTCTGGCTTAGCCACGTTTTAATAACTGCCATCCGAAATAACCATCATCGCCGATAACCACCAGAAAGCGAACCGCGTCCGTCGACCCATGCAAAACATTCAAGCTAACGTGCACCGCAGTGAAGTCGAAATCATAATTTTTTCAATTTCTTTTTACCTTGTTACAGTTAAAATGAGAAAAACAATAAGGATCGATCTGAACTTCAAAATACTGCCATTTTTTTTAATCGTCAATTCCAACACCAGATTTGGAGCGGAGCACCGAAAGCGACTGTTTCGAATTCATTTTCACAAAAATTAACAACGAGACATTCGTTCTGATTCTTAACGAGCGTTAATAATATAATATTAATATTTATATAATAATAATCTTCGCGTTATTTGAGCCGTTTATTTTAAAAGTGACATAAATCACTTTGTTTTTAAGTCGATATATTTAAGGGTTTGCGTTTTAACACGTTTCAAAATATGGATGCTAACTTTCGAGAAGATTTGATTATTATTTGTCATCTCAGGATACTGATATTTTTCTCGGTATAAATAATTTCGTATAAACATTAAAAACTCACCACTCTTTTCATTACGGTAAAGTGACTTATGCCACTTTCGAAATAAACGGCTCATTTACGAAAGAAGATTATCACAAAAAGGAAATGTCTTCGTTCGGTTCGAAGCTAAGAATATTAAGATTCGTGTTCTTTTCCTCTCAAGGTCGTCGCTGAAGGGATCGTCGCTAATTTCTACACGTGAACCCCCGTCTTTTACAACGCAGCACGCGCATCGAGCCGATTCGACGACCTCCGACGCTCTTGACCTGCGAACGACCTCTGAAAATTATAAGTCGATGTGCCGAAAATAACGACGACCCGACGGTACCCCGAAAGAAAATGATCTCGAGAGGAAAAGGAAAACGCGAGTCGTAACTACGTTCTTAGCTTTTCGGGCTGAACAAAGTTGTCCCGGCGCGTCGTTTTGTATCGATGATTCTGCCGATGCAGAAAGTCGCATCGTTTCTTCATAAGAAAACGCAAGAAAAAAGGAGCGCGTCTTCGGAGTAGAAGTCGTAGAACGGGCAAAGCGCGAGCTGACTTTCCCGTGATAAACCACACGCGTTCTATTTCAGCGGTGAATCTAGCCGGGAGAGTCCGGCCACCGGTCTGACAGACAATAAATAATTAATCGGCCGCGGTGACACACAAAGAGACGCGCCGGCGCTTTGTTCCTGACAGATCCGCGATATTAAAATCCGCCACGAGTGTCTTTTTCACCGGATTAAATTACCATCAACGCCTCGTTCGAAATGCTGTCCGCGCGCTATACGACGCAACGTTGATTTATTATGTTCGAGTTCGGTTCCGGGGGACGGCGAGGCGACGCGGGGATTTATTTTGTTGGCGCGAGAAAAGAAAAAGTCGTAATCGCCAGTTTCTCGCCGGTTATTGCCATATCTTATTATGTCACCGAAGTGCCGCAGCCGTGAAATTACTTTCTCCGCGTAACTGCGACGATTAAACCCCGCCGATTGTTAACCCACGAGGAACGGCGCCGAACTCGAAGATCTTTCGGAAATCGATTCGAGCCGCTCGGCTCGGGTCGCTGATCGAATTCCCGGCACCGGAAGCGCCGAGCACTCGATCAGACCGCATTCGATTTTGACTGTTAAGTTAATCGTTGAAAGCAAACCCGGCGACGTCTCGGTCGACTTTTATTCCTGGACGTGTAAATGGAGCCATAAATAAATCATGATCATTCTTAACTTTTCAGACATATATATAATGCAAATGCGGTGTTTAAGTTGCCGTTAAAAGTGCCATCGTGTAGGAGAAGGTCCCAGGCTTTAACGTGCATGAAAACTTAGCTGCTACTATTGGACGTAGTTACAGCGGTTTTTATAATTGTATATGTTTTTCTCATTAGTTTTATAACTACGGTAATGTCTCTCTTACTGACGCTCAGATTGTCCACAAAAGTGGACAATTTGGGAAGAGGAGACACGATTTTTCGAGCCTTGCAACTCGTTTTTATAGTTGTCGATAATCGATAACCATTAAAAAAACGAGCCAAAAGGCTCGAACAATCGTATCTCCTTTTCCAAAATTGTCCATTTTTGTGGACAATCTGAGCGTCAATTAGAGAGACATTGCTGTATATATTTTCGTACGATTATTTCGTACGAATATTTTGCTTATGTGACATTTGTGTTTTACAATCACGTTGTTATTTATAAACGTTATTAACACTAGATTTACGGAGCACAAAAAACAGCTGTTTTATATTCGTTTAGAAAAGTAACAACAAGACATTTATTCTGGTTTTCAACAAGTGTTATTGTGACATTTGCCGTGAGTAACATATAAATTGAATAAACAACTCATAAATGTATCTTTACGGTATGAATAATCGTAAATTAAAAAATTGGTGACCCGACATTTCGACAGGTTTCGTAAATCTAGTGTTAAACAAATAATTTGATTAAATGGTCCCCATGTTAGATCACGTATACGCGATTGGGTAATGCGCAATAATCCATTAATTTCTTGTACGATATTTTAATACTGCACTTAATTTTGCTTGTTAAATTAATTATTAAAAGCATGATTAAAAACTCAATTGACTTTTATTCCTGGACGTGTAAATCGAGTCACGAATAGATCGCGACAGCAATTTCATGTCTTGGATATTTGCGGAAGAAACATTAGCTGGGGGTCAATTTGGACCCGTTAAGTGATTATAATTAGACCGCCGATTTTATGGATTTACGGCAGAAATGATTATAAATACAAAACGGTAAAAACGTTTAAAGAATTTTGGAAGACAGTTGCATTATTTTCAGCACATTGAAACGATCAAGAAACGAAATGAATGTTGATGTATCTCCTGTATCTTGCAATTAGTGCAGACAATTTTTATTTTCCATTAAAATCCGCAGTATAGTTATATAACTAATTCATCGCGAAGATGTTTCTGAAATGCTAAAAATAGTTTTTCATCGGAATATTGGAGAAAAAAAAAGGAAATACAGTAAATTCTCGCTAATTAAGCCTCAGCATGGGAACAAAAATGGACAATTTTGGGAAGAGGAAGCTCGAATAATCGTATCTTCTCTTCTCAAATTGTCCATTTTTGCGTACAAGCTGGCGGTCAATTAGGGAGAATTTACTGTATATATCGATATTAATTTATTGACAACTTTGCGAGTTAAGGTGAGCGTCTATCTTCAATATGGCGGCGTAGAGTATCTTCGATGATTCAGGAAGATAAGCTTAGGGTTATAAATTAGATGAACGGGACGGATGAGCGTTGGACGTTTGATGAACGTTAATGTCTGAAGCGGTGAAAGTGATGAAAGTTGCTCGCGATTTTAAGGTGAAAATATGACAGTGGGAAGATCATACATTTCAAGGACGCTGTTCCCAGGATTTCAAGGTCGTTATTCATCGCTCCAAGCGTTGCATTAAGTCTCGAACGCAAAGCACGTACATCAGCTAGAAATCCAGCTGTACCTGCAAAAATAATATTCGTAACATTAGTTAAACGTTTTGTGTACTTGATATTGTCCACATCGAACGTGCACACAGTCAGTCGGTCACGAAAGCCTAAGAACATTAATTTCAATGAAATTTTCAGCGTGCGAAAGGCAGCGTTCAAAGTTTAATAATTTGCTCAAATAAAAAGAAAATTTGAAAAATGAGTTTTTTCTCTTTTTGCCATTTCTACCAATCTTAATTTGTGCAGCAATTTTTCTTGTGACTGTTTAGTAAACTGGATCCTCTAACGATCCAAAAAAAAGGAGAAGAAATTCAAGTGACCCGGTCCAATGTTTTAAAATTTATTCCGCGTTAAGAAATTTTCGAATAGTTTCGCGATCGGACCGTATATTGAGCAAAAAAGAAATAAATCGAACGAATGATGCATTTGGTAAATTCTCTTTTACAAAGTTCTTAAACATTTTCCATCGAGCGGACATATCTGCGTCACGCGCACGCAAACATTTCACGCATATCACGATTATACGCGCCGACTTTGACAGATTCCGGATATAAAAAAAATGCTGGAGCGAAAGAGAAATTGTAATTTAATGTACAGAGAGAACAAGCGGACCGCCGCGACTGCTTATCACGACAAAAGCGGGTGAATTAACAAATTTCAACGGCGGTGGCTGCACGCGGATCGTATCAGAAGGTAACACGCTCATCAAACGCAAATACGGGAAAAACGACATCGCGCTGCTGGCGCAGCGGTCTAATACAAATAAATAGAATAAAAGGGGAAAAACGGAAATCAAAAGAGTTACAGGTCGAAAATAGAGATTTGCCGTCCACGTTCGTGTTTTTCGATGAATATTTAAAGCCGCGGCGGTCACATTCGCCTGCCACTGTTCAATTTTTCGTCTCAATGAACGACCGCGAGGGGGCAGGGGGTAAAAAAACAACAAATAAGTGAATAAAATATGCGCGTGGCAACGTTGTCATCGCGCGCGAGAGCGAGAGAGAGAGAGAGAGCGATAGAAAGACGAAATAGCCAGACATAAAGGAGAGGGAGAGAGAGAGAGAGAGAGAGAGAGAGAGAGAGAGATACAGGGTGTCCCATCTAAGTTGAGATTGTAAAAAATCTAGTAGACACGTGATATAAAAAGAAATTGGTACATATCATTTAGTATTTCGAATGGGCAGTCAAATGGCACTACTAGTTTTTTAAAGCGTGGGCGTTTTCAAGGTTATTTCATGGTCATCTTTTTTTATTTCTATCACGAAGCTATATTTCTTATTTCGAAACGATATTCTACGTAAAAAAAATGCACAACTTTTATTTGGAACATTATTTTGTAACACAATGTTCTTAAATGAAATGAAATGCACTCCGGTGAAAGGTAACGCTGTAATTTTAACAGAAAAATAAAAATTATCCTCGACAGAAACATGAAAACTCAGCGAAAAATATCTTCAAAAATATTGAACTTACAAAAAAAATGTTTCAAACGAAAGTTGTGCATTTTTTTACGTAGAGTATGATTCCGAAATGAAAAATACAGGTTTATGATAAGAGAAAGCAAGATGACCTTGGCATAACCTTGAAACCGTTCACGCGTTTAAAGAACTGGTAGCGCCGTTTGACTGGCCGTACGAGATACTAAAGGATATGTGTCGGTTTGTTTTTTCTTTAAATCACGTGTCCACGAGATTGTTTGCAATCTCAATTGAAATGGGTCACCCCGTATATGTAATAGAGAGTGAGCGAGAGCTAAATAGACTATCAGTACGGCGCATCGTTCGCGAATAGAGATGCTACACGATAACGTAACCAGCAGTGGCAGTAACGGTAATGGTAATTTATCGATAACGTTGCCACCCCATTGTTACCGGGCGCGTATCTTGCATGTGTGCGCGGGATGGTAGCGTTCGCCGATGCGGACGTAGTTTGCGACCGTCAATATTAATACCGTTTGCTCGCGCCTTTTCTTATCTTTTCACAGGACTCCGTAATTACCGCCTTTCTTCGCCGACACCGCACCGTTCTGCTGCTACGATGCGCTCAGACACCGTCAGCGGACCTTCTCGCACGTCACTTTCATTTTAGGTACACGTCTCTTTTTTGACTTGGTCAATAGTGTTCGCGTCCGCGAAATAATCGCAGATGAATAAGGTCGAGTGGTTCTTCGAATTGTTTAAGTACGGCTGAATTCTGCGCGAAGCTATTTCTCTGGACGGCAGAGTCTGATAGTGTATATTCTGTCTGTATATACAGGGTGACCCAAAAATGTCTCGCAATCCGAAAGTGGCGGGCTCCTCAGGCCATTTGAAGCAACTTTTTCTTTTACAAAAATGTTCTCCGAGGCACCGTTAACGAGTTATTAACGAAAAACAGTGACCAATGAGAGGCGAGATCAGCTGCCGCGAGGTGACCGAGCCAACGGCGCCAGCGGTCGAGGCGGTCGAATCCCAGCTCAGCTGGCGCGAGGCGGCCGAGCCAATGAGCGGAACTGGGCTTCGCACGCTGATTGGCTGGGCCGCCTCGCGCTGGCCGTACTCGATTCTTATTGGTCACTGTTTTTCGTTAATAACTCGTTAACGGTGCCTCGGAGAAAATTTTTGTAAAGGAAGAAGTTGCTTCAAATGATCCGTGGAACCCGCCATTTCCGGATTGCGAGACATTTTTGTGACACCCTGTAGACTGTTGTAAATCGATGTGAAGACAAAAGAAGTGTGAAACAATGCATATGAAGACGATTATTTGGTTCAAACGATGAGCGTGTGAGCTATTAGAGCAAGCCACTATAGTGGTGCGTCGTGCCTAAAAGGTTAAACCCGTTACCGTGCCATTTTCTTCATGATTGCGATGATTGGAAGTTTCTCGATAGCAAAAATTTTTAAGAAGACCAAAGACAATTTATATTTGTCGTGTGTCTGCATTTACTCAAATGTAGAAATCAGAATTTAATTCAGACTGAGAAGAACGGAATAGCCATTCATATATAACAGATCGCTACTAAAAATCATAAACCAGCAGCATTGACAAAGAAAGTTACAAGTAAAATCATCGCGTTGAAAAGAAGTCGAAGGACTTTGTAATTAGATAAAAATATCTTGAATGAATCGAGAAGTTACGAACCAACGTTTTTCAGATGTAAAGAAGTTCTACCAAAAGCGTACAATCAAAATAAGTAAATAAGTTCTACATTTTTAGTGATATTTAAGTGAAAACATGTCTGTATAAAAAATAATAGAAAACAGCAAAAGTTACTTCGAGTTTATAATTATTCACGGCACTGTAGGTGGCAATCTTCAGCCGGGACACCCTGAACATTTAAAAAGAAATGTATACGTATATTTTATATATTACATATAAATAATATAAGAATAATATAAATTCCATATAAAATTACATATAATACATATTATATGTATATTTCAATATTCAAAATAATAGAAAACAGAAACCAACAAATACGATATTTCGACGATATTTCGTTAAGTTTTCGTTTGGATATCAACGACAATGCTGAAGCTCCTTCGAATCCATAATTACAAGACTGTGGATCTTCATGCAAAATAATCCATTTCAAAAAATGGGAGTTGACCAAAAATGTATTATTTAAAAATAACATACTCGCGTCCTTTTATTCTTCTTATGTTCTTCTTATTTTGTACTTCACGTTGCCAGTTCCAATAATAATAATAATAATAATAATAATAATAATAATAATAATAATAATTTATTCACGTGTACTGGTAGAAAAACCCTTTGTCACAGAAGAAATAGTAACAAATAGACCGATTTTACATGCAGCAATCGTGTAAGCACGAACAAGGAGAAGAAGGGAGNATAATAATAATAATAATAATAATAATAATAATAATTTATTCACGTGTACTGGTAGAAAAACCCTTTGTCACAGAAGAAATAGTAACAAATAGACCGATTTTACATGCAGCAATCGTGTAAGCACGAACAAGGAGAAGAAGGGAGAAAACAGAAAAAAAAGAAGAAAATATCGTCATACATATATACATATAAATACACATATGTAAATACACACATATGAATACACACATACATACATATAATACAAAGTAAGAATACGAAGGAGCGTAGTGGGCATAGTTTTCTCGTAGCTGCATAAAGTCCGCAGTGCAATAATTCCGCGCACCGCTGTATCAACGACGATCCCATCGGAAGCAGCGGGAGATTTTCGTGAACACGCTGGGGAAGAACACGTCGGCGTGGCTAATTCACGCAACAGATGTCCCAGGGAAACGCGTCCCCGCGCAAGAAGCGAGTCTACGTGCAAGCCCCGGCCAAGCCTATTCATCGGCTCCGTTCCATCCCTTTCGATAACTCGTCGATTCACGGAGAGTTTACGACTCCATCCGGCTCGCAAGGTGCATTCCACCTTTGAAAGCCAGGCTCCTCCGTCCGGCAGCGCGCGATCGCGCGCGCACGGTGAACCGTGAATAGGGTTAAATTCCTCGAGCGATTCCCGCCGCGTTTCTTTCGCGGGCCGGTGTGCAGTTAAGCAAACCGCTCGTTTAGCAGTAGCGTGCTTTCCGCCATCAATCCTGCTCATTTGCGCGGATTCAAAGTGGCTACCGCGAACAAGCGGATCGGCGGCCAGCAGCCGGCAGCGGAAAGAGCCGCGGGCGGATCGCGAAGAGAACGACCGGGCTGCTGCTTGTCTTTTTACTTGTAAAAGCGGTCGGAGAGAAGGGCGCGGGGAGGAGGAACTGAGGGGGGAGGAGAAAGAGGCGACGGGAGCTGGATATCGATTCAGGCCGGGTGGATCGTCGCTGTTGCCCGATAGCGGCGTGTAATGACTGTGATAGCAGGCCCTCGGCTGGCGAGCCCGCAAGGTCCCGACCTTGCACGGACAAGGAAACAGGCCTCGTGACCGGCTACCACCTCGATACCTCGAGAAATAACGCGAGGAATCGATCGCGCCGTGAAAAGGATCTCATTCGAGGACACCGGGAACCGACGCGCCGGGTGGCAACGCGGGCGCCCAAAA